CTCAGGAAAAGGTCCAACTGTCAAGAAAAGATTATTAATTCTATGATTTTCCACTCAGCCACACTCAAAATGACCATTCACAGTATTTGAAACTTTGTTTTTTTCTCTATATGAATCCAATACAGTGGCTCTTGAAGTACAAAGACTAAATTAAAATGTGCTTACATGGTTTATTTTTTAAGTAATTTAAAATACAGTGTCAACATACATTAAAGATATGTGGCAATTGAAATTAGGAATAACATGAGGTTATTTACATATTTTGTATATGTGTGTATATATACACAAAGTGAAGACAAATACAGAAACACTACAAACAATTCAATATGATAATTTACTGACAATCATTTTCATCATATTTATTAATTTGTCATGTTAATGGCTACAAAAAAATTCCTAGTACTGAAATATAATATCTAAATATTCAATTTTAATATAAACTATAGTACTTCAAATTTTAACAGTATATAAATAGGATTCTGAATTTTTTTAAAAAAACGTCATCTTCCCTGCCAAACTCCCTATTTAGTTGTAAAGGTTTCAGATCTTCCTGAAGTCACAGCTCTCAATGTGATGATAATCTGACTTTAAGCATAAATCACGTGCAGGCAGTGTTGTCTGTAAAAAGGTAAATGAAGATGCAAAGCCATATATAAAACTTCTAACATGCTGCCATAGAGAAAACAATGCACACTTTTAATCTAAGAGACTGAATGGATTTAAGGCAAAGTCAGGCTACTCTCAACCCTGGAAGGGTAAAGCCCAAAGGAAACACTGCTGAGAGATGGCAGATGGTACAAAGGGCAGAAAGTGGTCATAATTAGGTGGTATCAGCACCTTTGGCCCCCACCCCCCTACATCACTTAAATTCCTAACATAGCCCTATACACGAACATCTTGGATGATGGATATTTATGTTTGTAATAACTATAAATGACTCCTGCCTTTTGGGACTCCTCAGTAAACACACAGACTCCATTTCTCCCCACAGCACCAAGAAATGTTCTACCTCTGAACCTGGCATCTCTCTTGAGGGCCAGAGAGGGAAGTGATGAACTACTGGGTTCCCTAACTAATACAACAGCTTCTGAACACTGTTCTAGAATATTCAGATTGGTTTTCTGCCAATGGCTTACTGCGAGTGCTGTCAACATTCTTATTTGAAATTCCTGATTTAAAACAGTGGATGCAGCTGCCATAAAAAATGAAAAATCTTATTTATTACTGATCTGATCCTTTAAAAGTACATGTCACTTATAAGCCAGAGGTCATCTAACATTGCACATTTGAAGCAGGGAGATTTTGGTGACGACAAATGGATACAGTGAATGTATCAACTAAGACCAGTTGATAAATACCTGGCAATAAGTCTGTAGCTCAACAGGAGACAGGCGGGACATAGACTATTCAGAAAGGTTAACTTCATTTGTAAAAATCGTTTTGATTTTTGAAGGTAACCAGAAAAGATAGGAACCAAAAGTGAATAGCAATTTTTACCGTATTGGGAAACCTTTAGTCAAGTGCAAAATAACTTCTGGACAATAGTAAATTCTCTTGTTTTTTTCTTTACCAGGAGATATGATTTGGCGTCCTACTCAGTGATGTTTTTAGATCATACACAGTTACGGCTGCAAGTTACCAAGGTACTGTAAAAACAAAGAACAAAATCTGACTGTAAATGGTCTTACTGACTTGTAAGTCAATAAGTCAATAAAATATAATTCAAATTGGAGCTCTAAATGCTAATTAAAGCTTCCTGAATACATAATTAAGGGCTATACTACAGGTACAGTTGTTTGAAAGAAGGCTCTGAAGGACTCTCCTACACCAGCATCCATAGGAATGATATCCTTCTCATATCAGAAATAAACGCAGACCTGAAGAATGAGGCTGGGAGTAATAAGGTGAATGAGGTTATCACCACAGGATTGTGGTGCTAAACTTTTTTTCCTTACAACCTAATGGACTTTTTTTTTTCAACCTGGTGTTTTTTTAAAAGGCGTGCTGCAATATGTAAAACCAATTATCACAGAGTAAGAATCAAAGTTATTGTGTATCTTTATTTTTCCTACTTGGGAACTTGGATAGTTTGAGATTATAAAGTACATTTTTTTTTTCTCCACCATCCCTGAAAGAGCTAGCCAAGAAGCCACTGCTGAGAAACTTGGTTGTCCTCGTTCACATTACAAAGCACAGAGAGCCAACACAACTACCAAAACCACTCAAATCAAACAAGAAGAAATGGCACTTCCTCATACTTCATGGACTTCACAGGAATACAAAGATTATTTTACTTTTCAGACATTTACACATAACACAAGAAAAGCCCTTAGTTAACTGACTAGTTTCTATAAACTTGGTAGAGTTATGGCATAACAAAAGAGTCACTTGTTAAATACATAAATGTTTTAGTACTTGATGATATTTTCACATTGTACACAAGATGATTAACTTAGACTTATCAATCTCTTCCTCATACTGATTATACTGTAAGAAGTGTTTAGGGCGTCCACACTGTGCATTCTGAAGGTGTGCATGTGGCAATTCTAACATATTTTCATACTGTCCCTGAAAAGCTAGTTTCATTATTGAAATGTGGTTACAACTTTTAATATGATCCTGTTTCAATGACTGCCATCACCTTCTTGTGTAATTAATACTCCATGTAATTTAGAGCACATGTCTTGATTTTCTCAATGCTCATAAACACCTTATCTATAGGAAACTTATTTCTAAGGAAAAGCAGCATTAGTCTGTCTGCACTATATGGCCATGACTGACTTACACATGTAATCGATATGAAGGAAAAAGGACCATACCCATTAGTCTATAATGTTAAATCTGCAAAAAGAAGTACAATTTGAACAAGCACTTGTACGTGTATTTCAAAAAAGGGACCACAGTAAGTCACGCCACAATAAATGCCGCAGTATGAGAAAGGAGAGCTGGGCTTCACATCCAGGTCTTATACAGCAAAACCTTTAATTCCTTACTGATCATCAGTGGAATTAGGTCTCAGACAACTCAGAGGAAGGAACACTCTGGTCTGTGTTAAAATAAAATGAAGGCTGAGATTTCTCTATGCAGCAGCAAGTGAAGTAGAATTCTGAATCTTTCTTTGGAGTCAAGTTGGTCTTTGAAAGAAAATCAATTTGCCATTAAGAGGTTCTAATCTAGTAGGATGCCAGATGATGGCAAGGGTGTTTAAACTGAGAGTGTCATATAACTAAGGGACTGGTACATTGGAAAAACTACCTTCTGTTCCAGCAGAGGGTAGTCAGGGTGTTAGCAATGTTATTATTACTAGTAAGGGCCACCAAGGATCTAGAGACCAAAAAGCTCTAGCAACACCTGATTATAAGTATACAAAGATCAATAGCAGGAGGTAAAAAATAAACATTTATCAGATTTTTTCATTATATTACTAATTTTTACAACATTAAATATTTTTCATTCCTTTACTTCAATGCACTGATACTTATTTCTGGTTGTGACTCTGCCTATGGTTATTCTTTTTAAATTCTAATCTAGTATTCCATTTTTAATTTTAAAAGCATAAATGCTCCAAGACATAGTTGTGTGTGTATGTGTGCACACAAAATTTAACCTGTTAACTCTAGAAACATTCATTTAAAGTAGAAGAAATTGAGACTACAGATTATATTATCACATAAAAAGAGTTTTATGCAGTCAATACCTGAGTGTGTCTGTACAGTGGAGAACTCCAAAGTAACAAGTAAAATATCATGGCCCAGTGGACCAGTGCTGTGGTAGGCAATGGTGAGTAACCAGCTTTTTGGAATCTTGAGAAAAAAGGCTCTTTGCCACATGCAGATATTTATAGAAATAACATTTTAGAATAATTGAAACAGAAATAATAGAAATAATGGCTGATGCATGACTAGATGTTGGTGATACATTTAAATTGGTAGTAAATACCTATTCTATGTTCTATAAATTCAGTGAATTCCTAATAAAGGCTGTAAACTGAGAAGCATAAAAGAAAACCATGTACAGATTTTATTCCTGCTAAAGATGATTAAGCAATTTTAAATTCTGTGGCTCAAAATAATTTAAGAATCCTGTATCTTTATGTTTGGTTTCTATTGCAATTAAGCATAGAATTTAAAATGCATAGCTTTTCTACTAGTGTCTTTAAAAAACATCTTATTCATTTGTACAAGAATTTCTCAAAAGCCAAAATTAAAATTAGATAACAATAATATATGTTGACACTTTACAGTGTCACATGTAGAATTCATGCTGCATGCCCTAAAACTGCACTTTTTACAGTTTTCCTATTATTGTAGTTATATTTTGTGATGCCACTAGGAGATGATATATGCATATGACTTATCATGTTGATGTAGTAAAATTACTTGTTATGTGTTGTTATTCATATGTTAATATAGTAAAATTTCATAAAATCCCCAAATTGTAAAGATAGTTTTATACATCCTCTTAATCAGGCATCAGCAAACCAAGACCCATGAGTCAAATCTGGCTTGCCCCCAGTTTTGTATGGCTCATCAGCTAAAATATTTCTATTCTTAAATGGATTTTAAGAAGTGAAAGAAGGATGACATGCCAGGACATGTGAGAATTTTGATTTTCAAATTTCCAGGTCCATAAATAAAGTTGTATTGGTACTAAGTAAGCCATGTTCATTTGCTTATTCATGGTCTATGGGTGCTTTCTGCTACAATGGCAGGGTTGAGTATTATGGTGAAGACCTTCACGGTCTGCAAAACTCCCAAATATTTACTATCAGGCCTTGACAGAAATAGTTTGCTAATCCCTGCTATGCCCATAGAAGGCATGTGGAATGCTGAATGGAGTGTTTATATTGAAATCAGTGTATGACTTAATTTGATTTCATTTATAGACATCATATACATTATTCCTTTTGAATATCATCATCTACTTGGTAAACAAATAAAAATAAACTTATGTTAAAAAAACTTATTCCTTGAAATGTTTAGGACAAGCAAAACAATCACATATAAAAGAAGTAAATTCTTAAGAAAAAATATAAATGAACAATTTAAATTACATTTTTAAGTAATGATTTCAATGTTCCTCAGAGAATGCCAGACAGTAAAGGACATATCTAAAAATCCTTATAGCAAATTTCTAGTTTCCAAATTTCTGGGATATAGTACTTAACACAGTATTTGAGATTCTACAATTGTTATGGAAGAGACAATGTGCAGAGTTACTTATCAGAAAGCATAGGGGAAGAAAGATTTTAAAATAAGAAACCAGTCAAGAGGGAAAAAATAAAAAGAATGGTATGGCAAGCAATTTAAGCATTTTTTTTTCTTTTCCATTTATAGGGAGCTACATAAGTCTGCTGGTGTAGAAACTTAACAGAAATTTACTTTTCATTTAGTGGGCTGATTCCCATATCTGTGTCAGATAAAATCATAGCACTTATTATTGTTACCATGGATACCATGAAGATACTGCCATCCACTAAACAGTATTAGAAGAAGACAACATAATTTTCTGGAACTAGTCCTGTTTTGCCTTCGTAAGTTGCTTTCAACCATCCTGGTTCCACTGATGGGTACACTGACAAAAAATAAAAAAAAAAATGTCATTCAATCAACATTAGCCTCAAGTAATTATATACATAAATGGGTAAAAATCCACATCAGATTGCATATATACACTCAAGTTGTCAAAACAATGTCACAGCACCTTTAAGGCTGGAAATGTCCTTTGCATTCATGTAACCAATCTCTCCTCCTCCCCAATCCCTCCCATCTTTCCATCTTTCCCACCTTCCCCAACCCTTATTCCCTCTGCCTCTCTTGAAGACACAGGAAGAAACTGGGCTGCAGAGGAATGTGATGCATTCACTTGTACAGGTTATGAGAGGCAGAGCCTGGACTAGATTCTGACTCTCCTGGCTTCTATTTTAGCTTCTTTTCCCTACACTATCCCTTCATCTTCCCCATGATAATGAACTTAAGTGAAGGGACTGGGTAGACTTACCATTAGAAAATATCGCCCCCTGTGGGAAGGAAAGCTCATGGCTGTGCTCTGCTTTACAAGAGTACATGGCTTTGGCTTGGCTGAAAGAGCAAAAAGGAATTTATGAAATCAACAACACTCAAGTACATTTATACTTTAAATTATTCTTAAAACTGATATTAGTTTTTAGTTGTAATTGGAGTATAATATACATAAAACACACATGTAAGTGTGTATAAGAGCATCTTCCACAAACTGAATACACTTGTGTAACCAGATCAAGAAATCAAACATTGACAGCACACCAAAAACCTGTCTTGTGTTTCCAGGAAATGTCCCCAAGGGTAATTAACCTGGCTCATAACAGCATAAACTGGTTTTAAAGAATACTATTATATAAGAGTATCCTGGCAAACAGGCCATTTTTATACCTATTTAGATATTCATAGGTACCCTAAAGCTTTTTTCCTACTTTCTTTTCAGACTATCAGAGGTGAGACCCCAAAATTAAAGGCCTACAGAGTATATTAAATAAATTAAGTGGGCATGATACAAGAAACACGATAGGATAAATTGATGATAAATGGCAACCAACAACAGCCTCATTGTCAAGGAGACAATGAGGACAGATGGAGGCTTTGTAAACCAGAGGCTATACCCATCTCCTAAAGTAGGAAACCAACACTCACATGAGAATTCAGACTCAATGTAATCAGATACTCTTTTTCTTAAGAGAAGCCAGAATTTCAGAGTTTTATATGAGATCTATTTTTAAATATTTGAGCCTATACTAAAAAGCCATCAACTGAGGCTGCTCATCAAGTGACCAGTCAAGTCACCTTTATTCTTCAACATCCAATTATTTTGGCAACACAACGTGCAAGTTATTCTAACTTCACATACTTCTCACCATCTGTATCACAACCAGAGTCCAAGCTAAAGTCATTTCTGGTGTGGCTCACTAAATGGCTTCCTAGCTTTCTAAATCCTCTAGGCTTCCTATTTTGTCTCCTTACAATCCAGTCTATACAGAGCAGCCAGGGGGCAGCTTGAAAAAGGTTCTGATGATCATGTGATGACCACATTATTTCCCTGAAAACAACCCTTCAACTGGTTTCTAACTCTAGCCTCCACACTACACATAATCAGGTACCTGTCAGTATCTCCTTCTTCTTCCATACTTGCCTCTGCTCACCTACTATACTATAGTCACACTGGCTTGCCTTCACCTCCTCAAACATGCCAAACTCATTCCCACCTCAGGACTATCAGGGCTTTGTCCTGAGACGTTTTCCTTAAGATTTTATTTATTTGACAGAGAGAGAGAAGAGAGAAAGAGAGAACAAGCAAGGAGAGTGGCAGGCAAAGGGAGAGGGAGAAGCAGGCAGAGAGCCCGACTGGGGAGCGGGGGGGGCTCGATCCCAGGACCCCAGGATCACAACCTGAGCTGAAGGCAGATGCTTAACCAACTGAACCACCCAGGAGCCCTGAGATGTTTTCCTCTTGATCTTCACATCGCTATGCGCGTCTAGTTCATCTTAAATTTCCTAAGCTTTGCTAATGGTTAGGTGTTCCTGAGCACACACTGTAAAATAGTTGCCTGGGGAACTATCATACTCACCTGTTTTAAGTCTGCATGGTGTTAATATCTGGTATTCTGTTGTTACTATTGATATTTCTATAATCTCCCCCCAATTAGGATGTAAGCTCCATGAATGATGTTCGATGCTTAGTAAGTCAGTATTTGCTGAATCAATGAATGGAAAAAAAGGTAAGACGCTCTGAGCTCTGTTTTCTACATGATGAGTCCTTTTAAAACTAAATGCACCCTGCCTTTCCTCCCTGAGGTCTCAGTACTTTACCTGCAAAAAAGCATCAGCAAGCAGTGTTTGCTATCTATAACTCTCTCAAAGAACAGTGTAACATTATTTCATTTCCCTGTTGGAGCTAGACGCTGGGTCTTATTCCCTACACTTCCACAATGAGACTAGGTCATTTATACTGGAGTTCCCAAACAGATATCTGAAAATTAGGAAGTTAAAAATTAGAGAAAAATTGTGTTCCTACCCCAGAGTCTATTTCATGAGGTGAGTCAGGCTGTACTTTCAGAAAGTTTGCTAGGACAGCCTGCAGCAGGCAGATTTAGAAATGACTACTAGCCCAATGCAACATGGTCTAAGGAAGAATTGAGGAAGAACAGGTACCCAGAGAAGGACAGGACTCCTACACTAAAGAGCCATGTGTATGTGTGTGTATGTGCATGCGTGCACATGAATGCGTGTGCATGGATGTGTTGGCTGACATGGCGTGGCTGTGGGGGAAGAGGATACTGACAAAGTTATGAAGACTTCTAATAACCAGACCATGGTAATCTTAAATAGACAGAATATTAGTTTTTTCTATAAACCTTCCAGTCAATTATAATCATTTAATCTAATATAATTTGGTATAATTTGATCTGACATAATCTGATGTCTGATATAATTGAGGGTTCCAGAGTCATTTCTCTAAAAATATGTAGATTTTTCAAAAAAATCAAATCTTCTAACAGCAAAAATTTCCTCTAATATTAAGTCTTACTGCTTTGAATCATTAGGAGATGCATAAGGTAACACTTTTCAGTTACAGAAATCATTAAGATAAAATAACCTTACAATGATATAATTTTTAAAATTATACTCTAAATGCAACCGAACTATTTTTGTTAATATTTCAGACATGAATGTTCTCTCTTTAGTATTTTATGGGATTGGATAGCAAAGGGGAGGCATGTAGAATAATTATATCACTAAATAAATGGATATTGTTAAATGTGTCAAAAATACATAGCACAAAATATTATCTGTCATGATTTTCAATTATTTGTGCATATGACTAGACAGGTATAATTTTCTTCTGCTGAGATCTGTAACTACAGGTGTTAACTCAGCAGAGAGCTTTGATGATTTAATATAGAAGTCTGTGACAGTGAAGTTTTCTCTCCCGGTGTTAATGCTTCCTCTTTTACTGCCTTGGTATATTGAAGAAGATGTGAAAATAACACTGTCACCTATTGAGTCTCTCTTCAGAAAATCCTAATATCCTTTAAAAAGAATTTTTAAAATCTTGCTTCTTATTGCATGGGAAAGTAAGGTAATGGCACTCAGCATCCTGAAAGTCATTCCTTCCCTTATCATCCAGAGGATGGTCTGTTCACAAGACCCATTCCTAATTCTAAATGCTATTACTGATGAATAGACTTACAAAGGTTTGATAGGGTGAGTGTGCAAAATTCACAATGCTTATCTTAATGTAAGCAACATTTTAAAATGTCGTAATCAAAAGTGATACAATATTTTCTGGAGAGCCCCTTAAGGATACACACACACACACACACACACACACACACTTTTTGTATGAAGGAAGGAGAGAGGCACACAGATATAGTTAAAAAGGTGCTAAAGTAGTAACATATAGAAAAGCTAAAAACAAAAAAATCAGTCTTCATCAGAAGATTTAATAAATTAACACACCAATCCAATAAAGCACTAGGCAGCAACTACAAATAATAACGTAGAACACATGACATGAAACAGTGCTAGCACATAAGGCAAAAATTTTACAAAAAAATTTGTCCTTGCAAGACCCCTAAATTGCCCATGACTCTTTACGATAAACACTGCATTTGCTTTTTGGTCACTGTTTGGAGATTTCTTCCATTAGTCACATGTTCCTTTCTTAGGCTTTTGTCAACAAATACTGGCTGTTTCTGGCTTGGATGTCTGAGTATTGAATGTCTCGATGCTAAAGAACTCCTCACGGGAGCTTGTACAGTTAGAGCTGCTTATGTCAAAGGCACGTGTATTGCAACTCCATTGAAGATGAAGTGAAGACGTGAGTAACAGTCTTTTTTTTTTTTTAGAGAGAGAGAAAAATGTCCACATATGTGTGAGCAGGCAGGGGAGGGGCAGAGGAAGAGGGAAAGGGAGAAAGGGAATCTCAAGCAGTCTCCATACTCAGCAGGGTTCCTTTTCTGTGTTTATCACAGAGGAGTGAGTGGTTCACAAAGTATAGTCAAGGGGAACCTGGATGGATGGGTAGATGGGACCCTGAAAGGACACTGCTCTGAAAGCAAATGAAGTGTATATGAGAATCCATTTATTTCCTATTATGCCATATATTAAAGAGGTCTGTAAAAATGTGAAAAAATGTAACTCTTTATATTAGAAAATATTTTCCATAAAATTTGTTATTTTAATATGTAATGGCCTTTAAAAAATATTTGTTATTGTATTAATGGTGCTTTGGTGGTATTAAGGAAGAGAGGTGTCAGTTCCTGAGCTCTTAGCAGTCACCATCATTAAGGAATGGAAGCAGATTGCAGCATGGCCACAACAGAGGAGTGGGCTTCCATGTGGCCTGGATTAGTGGTAGATGTGAAACAATTTCTGTTGTCTTAAACACATTAAGAATATGGCCTTTGGAAGAGGTAGGGAGGCTAGACCCTGCTGTGACCTGGGGGTAGGCACATAAACTATTTGCCTCAGTTTCACAGAAAAGGGTGACCCCCAAATGCTGGAGGACTTGTGATTATCAGTGACTTAGGTGATAGGAGTTTGAATTTTGAAAGGAAACAATTATTTCCTTGGTTCATCTTCTGTATGTAGAAATGAAGTCCAAGAGAAATTAAAGTTATGGCAAAGTCAGGCTAGAATCTACATCTCATGATTGCTGGTCCAAGACATTTCTGGTGACTATTTGGATATTAGCTGTGAAGTCTCTTAATAACACTGAAAAAAATCACTTCTATTATTGGTAATTGTTGACTTAAGTAAGAGTGAATAATCACAATTCTGTCTTGTAACAAAAAGTGTTGATATTATCACCCTTTAGTTGCATTAGCTTATTCTTTTTTTTTAATAAATTCATAAATTTAAAAAAAATTCTCAGTTTAAATCTCTAATATAATAAATATAAATAAGATATGACCCACATAAACAAAAGCTCTTTGGGGGTCCTCAATGATTTTTTTTATGTGTATAAAGGCTTTCTAGGACCAAAAAGTTTGAGAACCACGGTCATAGATGAGATTAGGTGGTTGTGAACCAAAACATTAACAGTGGTTATCTTCAGGTAATGAAATCAGAGGTGGTTTTCCCTTCACTTTTTTTAGTTGATTATTCTCTACATTCTCTAAAAGAAGAAAAAGTTGCTATTCTTGAAAATCATGGATTCTTTCTTCTTTCTTAATGTAGCACAGTGATTTATCTGTGTATCTTGCATGTGTCAGTATGCTCTAAACCAGTGACAGCCTTCTTAAATCTCAAACTCAGTGGACAAGAAGACTTTGTTGAGCTTTGCTTTGGTGCTTTGTAATTATAAACAAAACACTGGTTTGAAATTATGATAACAGAAATATGTGATTGCTTATAATGAGCCAAGCACTCCTAATTCTCTTCATTCTCAAGCACATAATTCTCAATTCAACCCTCAGAAGATATCTCTATAGCTTACCTAAATTACATTACTTTAAAAGTAGATCTTCATAAAATCTTAAAAAAAATAAAATCTTAAAAGAAGATCTTCCCCTCTGCCCAAGTATAACTAACATTGAGGTAAAGGCTTTATGGATATCATTTTTCACATGCTTTTATAATGGTAAAACAGAACCTAGTGACATTTGGCTCTTGAAGGCATTTTCCAGATTAAGGAGAACAATTGTAAATAACCAATGTCTGCTTAGGGATATGCTAGATATTATCACATTTTTCTCTATTCGAGTGGTTCTCAAACTTTTTTTTTTTTTTATACATAAGAATCACTTAGGGAGGTTGTCAAAAATTCATATTCTCCACATCTCAGTCTCAGATATTCTGGTTTCAGAGTCTGCAGCAATGCAGGAATCTTCACATTAACAAGTCTTACAGATCAAGCTCCCTTGAAGAGTGGTCCCTCATACTCCACTGAACCTGATTTCTTAAAGATTTCCAGTGATGCCTTAGAGATTAAAACCACTGTCTTCTAATGATCTCCTTGACACTTTTGCTTCTACCACATTGACCATTATTTCTGATCATTCCTTCACATTCTTCTTTGCTTGAGCTTTAAATCACTTGAACAATTCACCAAAGACCAATGTTGAGCCATTTTTCCTTTTTTACTGAGTAAGTTCCATCACTGAGTATCCTTACCTTTATCTATGCAGTGTAACCACTGCGTAGAACTTTCTCAAATGGCACCAAACTCCATGCTCTGTCCTGGTTCCAGTTGCACATTTTTTTTTTTTTAAGATTTTATTTTATTTACTTGACAGAGAGAGAGAGAGCACAAGCAGGGGGGAGTGGCAGGCGGAGGGAGAGGGAGAAGTAAGCTCCCCGCTGAGTAGAGAGCCTGACGTGGGGCTTGATCCCAGGACCCCAGGATCATGACCTGAGCTGAAGGCAGACGCTTAACCAACTGAGCCCTGCAGGCGCCCCCAGTTGCACATTTCTAACTGCCTTTCAGTGTTCCTCAGGCTCCTCAAACATTATGGTCAAAATTTTCCTTTCCCCTCCTATGTACTCACAAGCTAAGATCAGAAACTAAATTACCATTCTTTCTGACACTCAGTCTGAAAGACTTGGAATTTTCTTTACCTGTCTTTCATTCCCAAAGTATCAAAGCAGTTGTCAAATCCTGCTCTGATCCATAAAATTCTCCTTATAGTTTTTCATGCTTTTGTTACTGCCCTAATTAAGGCATTTTAAATCTCACCAATTCCATCTTAAATGTTCTTTCCACTTCACAACCTCCTACAAAAGCCACTTGATCTGTTCAAGTGTGTCCATGATTAGATCACCCCTCTGCCCAATGACTCAGACTCTGCAGTACCTCCTGGAGGTGTTACTTTCCTGTTTTTCAAAGCCATCCACTGAAATCTCCTACTTGGTCTCTTTCCCAAACATGGCTAGTCATCCTACTACCCACTACTGGCTCTCTCATTCTTCAAGATCCAATTCAGGGGTAACCCTAAACTCCCTAGGAAGAAAGCAAAATAAGCATTATAGGTTAGTAAGGGAAATGCCCTCAACTTCTATGTGTTGTTCACTTGTATTTAATGGTATAAAAGAGTATCAGGTGACTGTTAGTAGTTAATGATTAAGTACCATTGATGTATTAGTTAGAAGCCTGAATATCTTAAGCAAGCACCTTAAATAGTAACAATGATAGTTACTATTGTAGACCATCTACAGAGAACTTACCAAATACTTCAAGTACATTACAGTATACATTTACAACAATTTGTCAAAAGAATTATGACCTTCAATTTTATAGACAGAGAAAATAGATTTCCTAAATACATAACTCCAAGGTTACTATAACTAGGAAGTGGTAGACCAAGAATTTAAACATGGGTCTATCTGACCCTGACATCGGTTGTGCTCCTGTCTCTTGGTGAAAAGTTCTGACACTGTCAGCACATGGTATGGAATTGTTGACAAGTAAAGACTCCAACCTTCAGTGCAGAGTGAGCTCTAAGTTCATACTGACAGCCATTAGAAGTTGACTTAGAGTATAACCTAAAAGCATATTAAAAATGCATAGGTTGATTGTTGAACATCTGAGTATATGACAGTGTTCTGATTTACTTCATTAAATAGCTTTTCTTAAAGTTTTTATTATTTTATTTTATTATTTTTTTCTTAAAGTTTGTAAAGGATTCTCTCTGATACAGAACTTGTGCCCTTAAAAGATTGTTTTAGAGCTTCATAATAAAAAGGCTCCACCTAGTGGAGCAATTCAACTATATAGCAAGACAGAAGTAGCAAAGTTAAATCCCTTACACTAAAGCCTAAAAATGATGACAGTTTCAGGGAAATGATGTTTGCTCTGACATGCACAGTATCTAGTTTTCACCATCCCTTGATAAAAGGGAAGAAAGTGAAGATACTATAGATGGAGGTAAAGTAAATGCAAGTACTGGGATTTGTTCGTAAGTTCAACACATTGACCAACATCCCAGTAAGATAACAAAGTGGCTCTACTCTGTGAAGTCTAAAACATTAATACACAAAGTCCTAGCCCTGCTACGACTTGGGAAAACAGTACTACACAAAGACCCCTGTTAGGACTTGGGGAAAAAAAAAAAACAAACAGAATTTGAAGGTCAATGTTATCCCTAGTAACTAGAATAAGCCCAACATCGTGTAGGTAGTTAATAAACACTTGCTGAAAAAGTCCACATGACTTTAAAAAGGTCAATAAAAAATTCTATGGTTGAATAACTTTTTTAAAATTTTAATTCCAGTATAGTTAATAAACAGTGTTATATTAGTTTCAGGTGTACAATATAGTGGTTGAATAACTTTTAAAATAACTATACAGTGATATTTCAATTAACTGTGATTCCTTTACTTCATACCCTTGATTAGCCAAACATGGGAAGCTCAAAACTGCCTTTGTACATCCAAAGGAAAAATCAAAGTTTTTTCTTCGAGTGCTCTCATTTACATACTCTTTCAATAGCAAGCATTTATTGAATGACTCAGACCTGTTGCTGATGGTAAAACAAAACAAAACAAAAACAGACATACCAAAATACTAAGAAAATTCCATTATTTCAGACATATTCAAATTAAAAACCAAGGCCCACTGTATGAGAACATCAATTTGGAACAGGAGGAGAGGAAAGTAAAATCTTAAAAGCAAGCAGATTATTAGTGGCAAGATGTAACAACCTATGTCCTTTTAACAGAGAGGAAGGTAAAATCTGGGAAACCTGAATGAAGACCTGTACTCAAAAAAAGAGCTGCTTAGGCCAATCAGCTCTACAGCAACACAGTGGCCATTAAAAATAAGCGTATTTTTCAATGCATGTTCATAAAGCTTCTTCCAGAAAAAGTTCTATAACTTTTAAAAGTCAAGAATATACTTTTGAGGTGCACCGAGCGTCGGTTAAGTGGTTAAGCGCCTGACTCTTGGTTTCGGCTCAGGCCGTGATCTCAGGGCTGTGAGATGGAGACCTAAGTCTGGCTCTGTGCGCAGCAGGGAGTCAGCTTGAGATTCTTTCTCTCTCTTTCCCTTTGCCCCTCCCCACATTCATGTGCACACTCTCTCTCAAATAAATAAATCTTTAAAAATTTAAAGAAAAAGAGTATACTTTTAAAAACTTCCCAGAAATTGTCATCAAAGGAGTCTTTGCCGTGCCAAGGGTTATAGCAACTTTTATCTTTCAGAAAACTTGTTTAGAACCCTTCTTTTGTGAAGATTTTAGTAAATGAGGCATTGCTGGAATAGTCTAAGAGGCTAAATGCTGTTTACAGACATGACCTTTTTTCCCCTCTGAAGAGACAGTGGGTGTGGATTTGACCATCTGCAGACCTGAAGGTCAGAGCTGTCAAAGATGACCCAACATGTCAACAAAAGATAACGATATCACCACTATTTTATTTATTTATTTTTTACTTTAAGGTTTTTGAGAACTTACCGCCCAAAAGAAACCAGCTTAAGTGAACCAACATTTTCAAACAGTTGGGCTTTTGCTGCCACACTGAAAAATAATTTAAAATGCAATCCATTAAAATCGATCAGAAAATCATTCAGTTCAAAGTATAATTCGGGGTAATCAGTTAACACAAACCAAAAATAATTAAAGAACTATCCACAAAATCTGACCTGAATTTTAATTGTTTTAAGCTTTAATGTGAAAGAAATTTTTAGATCTAGTCTTCAGCTCACAGAGTACCAGATGTAATAAACCTATAGCTACCTCATCTTTTCTACTTCAGAAAACTGTGGGAGCAGTAAAAAAGAACATTTTCTCCCCACTCAGCTTCTGGCAGTGATATTGATGCCTGTGGAGCCAAAGGGAAGAATCAAATCATCAAGACAAAAGAACTGTTGTTCATTCTGATAGCTAAGATATAACTAATACTAAAATGTTTCATATTTTTTTTAAATATTTGAACATAGTTCTTAAAGTGAAAAGAGGGAACTCTGAAACATTTGTGGATTCAAATCTTATTTCAAATCATGGGAGGGAGGGCATGATCTATTTGTAAAACTGCAACTATATTAAAACTAAGGCACCCTGGGGTAATTAGAAAAGTTTCCATACTTACTAAAAGAGAATATCAAATTCTGTGAATGATGTTTTAAGTTAGATATTTAAAGTGTATCTTATTTCTTTAGTTGACAAACTTTTCCCCACCACCTAGCCAGTTGATAGTATGAAGGATCATTTTACATCTAATACAGAATATATATTCTCTCAATTTTAATTTCTACTTCGTCAGTACAATTACAAAACAGAAGCAAATCTTCTCTTTCCCTCACAAAGGATGGAATTTATACTGACATATTGGCTTAAAATTTATTTTTCCTTAATGGCTAGAACTGTACACACTGGACAGTAGACATATTTATAAACATAGTTATTTGTCTATATAGTGGTAGTTGGATTTCTGACCAAGAGAGATAGTGTATGTCAAACACACGCTGTGATCAAAAGGTTCCTGTCAAAGGAGGTGATGAATGAATGAATTTAAGATACTGTTCCTATGGAAACAGGCTTACCGAAATGCCTTACTGGACTTTCGGTGAATAATTAAATGCGCTCCTAAACTTTCCAAGTATTAGTTCTCATTATCTCTAAAATGAGGTTTCTACTACCTACTGTGGAGGGACATGAAGTACATTAAGAGATAACATATGTTAAGGTGCCCAGTAATTACAGCATTTGGAAAGCTCAGTAAAAGTCAGGAAAATAAAATGAGAGGGCTAAAAACTTTCCTTTTTAGATTTTGCTTACTTCTTTATCCAAGTTCCCATTTGCTCTTCTTTGTTCCCTTCCTATTTACGTCTATATACTCTATCCTATGGGCCTAATTTACACTTCTGGGTCTTTTGATTAAAAGTTCTCTCTTTCACCTTCCACGCTCCTTGTTCTCCACGTAGGGGAGACAGATGATGGAGAGGAGAGAAAACGAACCCTCACAATGTAGACAGCAGTTGCATTTCTAACAGAGAGGTCGGAGAGGTGGATATGGGCAGTTGGCTCAGCTGAGAGGCAGATGTCTAGCTTTTACAGAATGTGTAGTTTCAAAGCCCAGAACTACTATATTATACATCTAATCTCATGTCTTTAAATTAAGCCATAGTTCTGCTTGTAAGGCAAATGACTGAAATTGTATGTGTGTGGAATATATCTATCTTAAGCCTCCTCTAATTTGTAATACACCACTTGTAGAAGAGGACAGGGTCCTAGAGAAGTTGACTGTTCCCACACTACAGATGAGGCATTCAGCTGTGGGACTCCTAAAGGTTCTTTGGGACATACTCAACTCCTTTGTGTCCCTGGATGATACAACAAATACAAACTCTCTCTCACTTACACAGATCCAGGTCGCTGGTAGCCATTGCTTGAGGCAGTGTCTAGCCTTAATCTCCTGCACATTTTTGGAGGCAGGTCTGGGTGTGGTGGGGCTTTGGGCATCTCTTTGGAACCTATAGAAGTTAAGCTTTGAATGGATCCACTGTAGCTCTTGCTTCCTAAAGAGAAAACCCAAGAAAACAGGCAAGGTGCTATCAGACAAAATAACAGCAGTAACACAGTACATGCGTGTAACAAAAGGAAGCATTTTTCTCTAAGCCCAAATGAGAAGGTACAGAATGTTCTTTGAGCACAGCAGCCCATCACTCAGGGAGATCACAATCTACAGTAATTACAAAAACATCACCTCACGGAGATGGAAAGATCCACGAAAAAAGTCCCAGTGCACAGTTTTAAAAATCCTAGCTCAGGAACAGCATTGTTAGCCCCTTCACCATTAACTTTTCCCTCCTTAATCATGCTGAATAATCCAGCAAGTGATACAGAGACAATGACATTTTATATTAACCTCAAATCTGGTTTACCTTCAGCTGCAGAGATGGATCTGAGAGAGGAAGCTGAGGCTCTTTTCAGTCCTGAAAGCCCATACGGCCCTTTCTTGACCAGGTCTATGGGTGGGGAAACATCCCCTGGGCTGGTGACCGAGGCAACACTCTGGCAATCTGATTCTGCATCCGTTTTGGTTGCATCCTCTTTAGAACTTGATTCAGGACTAGTTGTCCAGAGTCCAAGACTTTTCTGTCCATTGGAAGGTGATGGGGATGCAATCCAAGGAATCCCTCCAGATTTCTCCCTGGGCTGGCAGGAAGCCGACTTGGTTGTGCTGTTTTGCTCAGAGGAGTGAGAGGAGAGTGACTCAATGCTCCCCATGGGTGTGCTGTCTGGACTGCTACTGTAAGAGTCACCTGGGTGGGAGCAAGCAAACGGCAGCAGCTGTCTACTGAGAACAACACAACCAAACCCTTCCATTCTCCAGCTCACACGTGCTCAGTGGCCACTCGATCCCACTGGAGTGACAGGCCCGTACCCAGTGTGGAAAACCGCCATCCGTTCTGGAGAAAGGCTTTAAAACATGCATTTCAACTTAGTGAATGCATTTTTCAACACCACTCAAGGAAGATTTTATATGTACCCTGACCCTATGAAATAATGTTACTTCTTGAAGGATTAGTGAGCTGGCTTGAATTCACACAAAATTTGCTTCTGGGGACACCTGGGTGGCTCGTCAGTTAAGTGTCCAACTCTTGATCTCAGCTCAGGTCTTGATCTCAGGCCTCACACTGGGCTCCATGCTGGGCATGGAGCCTACTTAAAAAACTTGCTTCTGAAAAAGAACTCACAAATAATAGTAATAAGATTCTTTGATGACATTACAAGAGATCTCTGGAAGGAGGGATGTTAGAGACATGTTCCTGCCTTTTTTTATTTTACTGATGTTAAGTGATTCTGAGTTAACGCATCTGAGTCCTTCTTCATTAAGAGGCACCAGTCATGTCAGCTACAAATTAGAAACTGCTTATATTTTTAAAAGAAAGGACTTTTTCCTCTTCCTGCCGAGAATACAGCAATGTAAGAAACTGCCTATTTAACTGAATTATTTTTTAATGTTCTTAAAAGCAAGGTTTAAGAAACAAATCAGAAAAACTATAATAAAGTATTCAAACATATATAAACTAAAAATTAGTGTTTTCTGTTAAATACTGACCGTGAGAAAAAATTGCAGGGCTTGGGGGCATAGAGTAAAACAAAACAAGTTTAACATGCACCTCGGGATCAAGCTGCCACCCAATTTGTCGTGGCGCTTGGTTTAGAACAGCAAGTTAGTGATAATGTGTAGTGTGGTTTCTCTTTGTATTTCTTTTCTCTTTCTCTTTCAGACACTTTGATACCCAAGAGATGATGCTTTAAGGACATAATGTGAAAAGAAGAAAGAAAAGGACTGCTTTAGCCAGACTTTTTCTTGCTTTCTTCCCTACCACTTTGACAATAGGACAAAACCTGCTACAGAGTAGCACTCGATGTACTTAATAGCAGTTGCAGAAAAAAAGGGCACTGAGCAAACTATTTTTTTTTTCCCTTTGTAGCAGTAATGAATTTGTTTGTTCAAAGTACCTTGTAACTATACTGACAAAGAATATATAAATGGGAGGGGAGTGTTGGGGAGACAGTATCAGCAAAATCACCTATTTATTTCTACCCTAAAGTTGGTAAGGTGAGGGAAGGCTAAATCAAAGAATGAAGAAAGCATTTCCCTACAGCAGGCACACTTACTATCAGGTTCTGCCAAGCACGGTGTATACCTCCCTCTAGGCTTCCGGGAACCTGTGGAGAGGCAGATTGCTCGTGTCCTTCGGGATCCAGATCGAGACTGAGGCTGAGGAAGAGGAATGCTTGGGTCTGGGGCAGTATGGAAAATCTACATATAAAAAAAAAAAATTGGACAGAGGTCAATAAAAGGGGGCAACTGCCATTTTCATCATAAAATGGTATTTGTGAGTTAATAAATAATCTTAGAACTATATGCTATTTAATCAGCTTCATGGCAAGAGATGCTTGATATAAAAAATATCCTACAGCAATTATAACTTTCTTTTCCACTTACACTGAGTAATGTCCACTTTCTGGGTTTTCTTTTTTATCTTCCCCAATCTCCCAACAATGAATTTCAGAAGATTTTCCAATAACTTCAAATATGAACAAATGTCTGTGTCAAGACACATTGACTCTTACTATTGTGATATTTTCTTTCTCGCTTCATGCTGAACATAACCTGAAGGAAGAGGCTCATTCTGTATCATTTCCCCAGTCAAGCAGTTCCTTGCTTCTCAGGAGAAGGTGCTGTCATGCTGTTGGTCCTGAGCTGTCTTGGAACATGACAAGCTGCAGGGAGAAGTCTGAGCACTGCTACAGGATACAGCCAGGTGGTCTTGGGTTGTGAGTGCTTGCAACCTTAGATAAATGGAGGATATTCTTCTACAGGCACCAAGAAGGGACCCAGGGAAGGAGAGTGCATAGTCTTTCTCTGACAAGGACTAGACCAGGCATAAGTGGATCACATATGTTTTGATTTTCAATGGCTGGATTTACTTAATAATCCAATCACTCTGACTTTCCCAATTTCCCATTTCCATAGTTATTCTAAGATCTCAATCTTGTCAAAGAAACCATGTTTAAAGACCAGAGAGGACTTCAAGACTGTCCCTGGAATCCTTTTGTTTTGTTGAGAATATTATTGCTGCTGTAAGTCTAATTCCAGAGAGATAAAAAGGTTAAAAATACACTTAATCACCAAGTGATTCTAACAGATTCTCTGAATATGAGCAAAAAATTCACTACATAAATATTAAAGAAGAGAATCTTGAAAAGTAAATGATGTAAAAGGAAAGGAAACCATTTACCTGGAGGATTCTGAGAAGCACTTAAAAACTAAACAAGAAAAAAAAAATCAAAGTCCTTATGAAGAAGCAATTCATACAAAATGTACAAGACTGATACTTTATAAGAATCTGAGATCACAATGAACTCACAGATAATACAAATGGAAAATTCCTTCTTAAAAGCAATGTATAAGATTTGATACTTCCACATGAAAATTCAGCCTACCTTTTCATAGTGCTCAATCAGAATTTCAACCACAATATTCTGAAATTTAATATTCATCATGGCAGCCACAGTTTCTTCTTGTGCTCTCATTAGAGTTGGGCCAAATATGACACCAAGGTTTGAGACAGTCATGAGATTTTGTTGGCTGTGTAGTGACACTCTGTGAATAAGAGCAATAAAAATAACATAAGTTAAATGTTTAATAATTAGGCAATGTTCTCATTTATCAAATTTGTGGCATAAATAAAATGTAAAATATGCCATGATAGGCTAGTTTTCAGGTTCAACCTGAAAATATGCCATGATAGGTTTGCAGTCAGGTTCAACCACTCCCAATTGGCATATGTGGGTATAGCCTAAAGACATAAAAAGGTAATATTAGCTAAGTAAAAATAATTACAAAGCTTGATTAAAGGAATAAATCTTGATATCCTAAATTGAATATAATCACCCTAGAGAGATTATGAGTTGTTAGGGATTCTCTAGGGTACTATACTTCTTTTAGAACAGATGGTTAAGATTAGATTGGTTGGAATTATATTTGGATACACTGAACATATTATTGAAAACCTGGTGCCAGGCATTTTCATAGATATTAATTGCATTTAATCCTCCCAGGAAGTCAGCTTTTTCTATTGTAAAGGTTGAAAAAAAAAAAAAAGCAAAACTGGGGTGCCTGGGTGGTGCAGTCGGTTAAGTGTCTGACTCTTGGTTCTAGCTCAGGCCATGATCCCAGGGTCCTGGGATGGAGCCCCAAGTTGGGCTCCCCGTTCTGCATGAGTCTTCTTGTCTTTCTCCTTCCCTGACCCTTCTCTCTCTCTCAAATAAATAAGTAAATCTTAAAAAAAAAAAAAAAGCAAAACTCCTAAAGTAAAAATGATGTATTCCACGTAACAGCAAATTGGGGACAGAGATGCTATTTAAATTCAGGTCTCCTGAATATGTCAGGGGTTTTCTTAAGCTCCCTACATAAGACAACTAGCCAATGAATGTTTCTATTCTTCTTTTTCCTTTCCATCCATCCACTCATCCATTCAAAATTTCCCTGAGTGCCTCCTTAGTTGGGGGCACTATGTTAGGCAAACAGTAAGAGAAGGAGATATGGTAGCATCAGTGCTGGCTTGAAACCGAAAATGAAAGAAAAAGCCTCTGGTATTACTGGCCTTAGAAAAAGTTACCTTATCCCAGTAACTGTCAAAAATGACTTTGACTAATTTAGAAATTAGATATATTCTTTTTTTAAAAGATTATTTATTTGAGAGAGTACTGTACACAGGGGAGCTGGGGGAGAGGCAGGGGAAAGAATCTCAAGCAGACTCTCTGCTGAGTGGGGAGCCCTACTCAGGGCTTGGTCTCAGAACCCTGAAATCATGACCTGAGCCAAAATCAAGAGTCAACCAACTGAGCCACCCAGGACCCCAACTGGGCATATTCTTAAGAAAAAAACCTCATTCATTTGACCAATCTTCTAGGTTAATACTGCCTTTTCTATCTTACGTTTAGGCACGTTGTTAAAATACGAAGTTCTAGAAAGAAGCACAGCACAAGAGTATGTTTATACCTAAGCGTGCATCACTAAATCACTAACTACTTTCCAGAAGCAAAAGTAAAATTTTATGGAGAACCCAGAATTTTGAATATTATGCAAATCCAGCACAGGACAGGAAGAGCTGATTGTCTCACTGACTTAATTTTTCCCTTGTGCCTGACAGAGCACTAGCTAAGAAGCTCTTGGTTAGAATAGGAAAAGTTTCATTTCACATTTTCTTTTTACATAACCAAATATTACATATCTGTGTGTGTGTGTGTGTGTGTGTATATATATATTAGTTGCTTAGTATGTACTAGAGAATCTACTAAGAGAGCAGTATGTAAAGATGTCTGGATTTAAAGCTTGGATCCATCCAACTTGGAAGCTGGGTGCAATCAGCCAAGTTATTTACAATCTCTAGGCATCAGTTTCCTCATCTATAAAGAGTAAGGACCCCTATAGGGTTGATAAAATTAAAAAATGTTACAGGAAATATGATCTCAAAACATTAGTCTTCCTTGTAATTAAATTGGCTTTAGCCACTCTTGCTAAAATGTAAGAGTTCCTGGTAGTGTGAGTAAACTGGAATAAGATTAATATTAAGCTCATGGGGAAAACATTTGGAAATCCTAAAAAAAAAATGGTTTTGAAAAGGAGAGTTTTTTTTTTTTTTAAGATTTTATTTATTTATTTGAGAGAGAGAGAATGAGAGATAGAGAGACAAGAGGGAAGAGGGTCAGAGGGAGAAGCAGACTCCCTGCCGAGCAGGGAGCCCGATGTGGGACTCGATCCCGGGACTCCAGGATCATGACCTGAGCCGAAGGCAGTCGCTTAACCAACTGAGCCACCCAGGTGCCCCAAAAAGGGGAGTTTGTGTTGCTCACAAGATGGAATATTTGGATGAACAATTTTCCCTGAATTTCCCTTCTGCTGGGCTAACTCAATCAATACAGACACTTATCACCCCACATTTCAGCTATTTCTGCACCTCATTCCCTCAATCTGTTGAGGGAATGGACACCCAACTGCCCTTTTAAATATTCAAAGTTAGAGTCGAAGAAGGGACCACTGATAGCCTTTGTTCTAAAGACAAAGAAAAGGATTCTCAGAAAAGAAGTAATGGTTTATACCATGTCTCAAAGCTAATTAATGGAGATTTGGAATCAACCTTTTAGTCACTGGTCCTTTAGATAGTGACCAATCCAGATTACTGGTCTTAAATTCTCTTTTCTTCAGATATATTAAGGTTGCCAGGGATCAAGAGTGTTATTACTTGTTTGTAGTTTACTTAAGTCACTTGTGATGTGGATACACATTCCAATAATACTGCTCAGGAGTCAATGGGGACTGACTTTTTATAGGTTCAGGAAAAAAGCCAGGAATGGTGATAAAGGATGGGCAAAAGAATTTTAAACACTCTTCTATGGCCAGATACTATCCTCTGCTATCCCCTGTAGCAAAGCCATGCACATTCACTATAAGGGGAAGTCTAAGTTCATCTAACACTCTGGATAATTAAACAAAAACATTTTATGTGACACTCATGTATCTTTTAAAAGCAGTTTAAAAAGGCTTTGCTACAAAATTAGCTTGAATATACCAAGAGAATGCCCAATACATACAGTGTGGTTAAATTTCATGAAGAAGTCACACAATTCAAAATACAATTCAAAACTAAATCTGACCAAGAAACCTTGTTCATTAACTAAAAGAGGTATTGCCATATGCAACAGTTAATAATGAACTTGAAATGGCGCAGTTCCTAGTGGCTTTCCTTCTTATTTCAAGGGGCAGGAGGGCAATTCATATTATCTCATCTGCAGGTTAAGATGAGACTTATTAACATGTTATGAAGCACTATTTCAAATGTGCATGGCTCAAATTAGCATAAACTGGGTTACTACTTGTAGTAAGCAACGAAGAAGGAGTCATTTAATTGTGAATCATACTACTTGCTAAGATGGAAAATATCCTTATTTGTATATGAGCCTGAAAGGGAATTCTTAAGTTTAAAACCTGAATTTGGGGGCAACTGGATGGCTCAGTTGGTTAAGCGACCAACATTTGGTTTCGGCTCAGGTCATGATCTCAGGGTCATGAGATCGAGCCCTGTGTCAGGCTCTGTGCTCAGTGGGCAGACTGCTGGAGATTCTCTCTCTCTTATTCTCCCTCTATCCTCCCCATCCTCTCTCTCAAATAAATAAATAAATCTTTAAAAAAAAAAATCTGAATTTGGACTTTTGTTTACAGTAGCATGGCAAGTATGTGTGTGTGTGTGTGTGTGTGTGTGTGTATGAAACAGAGAGAATCTTTAGACAGATTTATGAGGCCACAGTACCCAGATATTTGATCAAACATAATTCTAGATGATTTATGAAGGTATTTTTTTGCATAAAATTAACATTTGTATCAGTAGACTCAGAATAAAGCAGATTATCCTCCATATGAGTGGGCCTCATTCAATCAGTTGAAGTCTTAAAAAGACTGAGGTCCTCTGAGTAGGAGGGGATTCTGCTTCCAGACTGCCTTGGATTGGAGCTGCAACGTTAACTCTTCCCTGAGTCTCCAGACTACCAGCTGCCCTGCAGACTTCAGACTTACCAGCCTTCACAATAGTGCAGGCCAGTTCCTTGCAACCAATCTCTCTCTTATATACACACACACACACACACACACACAAATATATATAGCTACAAACACACACACAAACATTCTATTGGTTCTGTTCCTCTGGAGAAACTTGATTAACATGATATCTATCTATCCAGATTTTTAAATACATATATGAACTAACAGCAGAGTCAGAAAAATCTTCAGAGACCAAGTGATGCTATGAATCCAGAGAAAGAAACTAACTTTAGAGTGGCACTTTGACCTGGCAAAACCTGTTGACACTAGTAGCATAGAGAACTGATCTTCATACTTAGGGCTTACAATGCATCTAAAGGACCTGGGGGAAAAAACATATGCTCCTTCATATATTTTTATGTAAGGTTTTTGTCATTAGCTTAACAGCTGCGAAGGATATTAATCATTTGCATAGTGTAAACATATACAGTACATACACACACAGATATATCTTAAAAATAAACTGTCACATCATTTTTAAAAGCATATTCAATAGACTGATTATAATAACAATGTTATAGTACCATCATACACTTTAGAAAGACATGAACAAGTCTAACTTTAACATTGAACAAGTAGTTAAGTGAACAACATAAATCAGAGAATTACTTGACGAGGTGCTTTATTAAGATGTCCAGCATCTCTCTGTTTTTTTCTGGCAATTTGTGCACCAATGCATGTACAGCCTCCACCCGGTAGTTTTGGTCATCAGATTCTGTAACATAAAGGTTGCAAATGTTCAAGTTTCAATTGCATTCAAACGTGTAAATAAACATTAGTAATCTAAACATTATAAACACTCCCACCCTTATGCCTTACAAACATTCCTTCATGCAGTAAGTATTATCACTATCACTGGCTTAGAGCGGTTGAGTAACCTAACCATGGTCATAAAGTTAGTTAAGAAGTCAAACTAACGCAGTTCTATCTAATCCAGACCTGTGCTCATAGCCACTGGACCTCCATACAACCATTACTCATCACCTGCAAAGTGAGTGACCACAGAAATTGTTACAGGTGGCCTACTGTGCCAGGCAATATAATATACTTTATCACACATAAAACTTCCTAGTGACTCCACCAGACAAAGGAAGAAGGTCTTTCTTTCCAAATTTTATAGATTTAAAGACAACAGGGAATTACTTTTCTGAGGTGTCAGGATTATTATGCAAACAGAGGCCTGATAGATTTTAAGTCCACGTTGACAATGGTAAATCTGAAAAGTAAAAAACCATCTAAAGGAAGACTAGTCTAGTCTGCCAGGCAAAAGCCAACATGCTGAGATGTCTGCTAGAGAAACATCTAACACTTCAGAATGAAGAACCTATTAACATGCTCTTACTATAATAAACAAATTCTATGGTGACTACCTACCCTGCCAAGCCCTTTCTCTGAAAAGTGCCCAACAGGAGGTGAGGAAAGAGCATGGCTCACTCTGGGCCAAACACAAAGTCTCCCAGGGGTTGGAACGGAGACACCAAAACTGTGATCTGTCCGCTTAGCTATATGAAAAGGCATATCGTGTAAGACCAGGGTTGACATGACCAAATGTGCTCCAAAGCCAAGAAAGTCCGATTGGAAAGGGAGATACGAATAAGGCAGCAAAGAACAGAGAGGAGAGACCTCCTAAAAGGATGGGAAGAGAAATATCAATTCCCAGTTTTGCAGTTCCTAGCTGTAGGCCCATGGAAAGCCTGATCCATACTCTGCCAGGGAATCTGTGAGACACCTTATGATTTCTGAATAACTTTCCCTTTTTACAGAGCTGAATTTCCAAATAATACCTAATTTTATTATCTTATTATCCGGTACATGGGAATATCCTTGACCCAGACAAAAGATTAATTCTTATCTATAAGAATATATTTTAATTATCATGGTAGTGAATTATTTATTTGCCATGGAAGTAGAGAAAAATAGTTTACAACCAAATGTTTCTATTAAAACAGGCTGCTCATTTAGCTACTTAGCTAGGTGGCTCAAATGCTATTTGTTTAACACAAAATTTCTGTAAGAAAGAGTTCTAGGGTAAGAGTCCAAAAAATTGGCTTGTAGCCCTGATTTTGCCATTAATTTACTAGTGTCCTTGGACAAAGTCACTGGCCCACTCAGGGACCTAGTCAATAAAATGAGAGGTCAGACTATATAGACCTAAGGTTTTGTTCATCTAATAGGGATAGATTTCAGTGAAGAGAATGTAGAATGGAGAGCTTTCAGGAGAAAGCTAAGTGGTACAGGTGTTTATGAGATCATGTGGTCAGTCACGTATGCTGGATTGAAAAACCAAGGTCACTCAATGTTATCTGACACTTATCAGCAGACAACATTTCCTGTGACATTACAATGTGTGGTAATAAATTAATGCAACTGCTTTCTTTCCTGGGACTGTGAAAAATACTTGGTACAGTCATACCTCTTACATCTTAACAATGAATTGCTAATTCCTAATGGTTAAATGTTGTGATGGGCTCAGATGGCAACCCTGCACTTTGGTTTTAATGTTTTAAAAGTATGTATTTCTAATTTCTCAGCTTACATGTTTTCACTGAGCCCCTCCCCACAATTTTTGAATTAAGCCTATCTATATATATATTCCATTATAGCAATCATAGACCCAAAGAATGACATAGATATGTGATTATTATCAATAAACAGAGGGAAAAGGATTGATGGAAGTACCTGTTACCTGCCAAAAATACCTGGCTCTTCTCTCCAGATTTAGGAATACAGCATGTAAGTATGAGTAGGTAGCACACTTGACTGTACATATTTGTAGTCTTATTTATTTAACCATAAGGTTGCTCTTATAAGAAACTAACACTCATCAATTGAGTAAAATGTAACTAAAATAATTCCTCTTAGCACACCAGTCACCCCAATGAAGTCTTATTAAGTGGCAAAATATTATAATTCATTCTGCAATTTCTTTAAATCAAGTTAAGTGTAGTCTCGATTCCCTTTATCTGTTTCCCCTATCCTCCACCCACCTCTCCTCTGGCAACCACCAGTTTGTTCTCTGTATTTAAGAGTATTCCTTTTTCGTTTTTTGTTTGTTTGTTTGTTTGGTTTCTTAAATTCCACATGTGAATGAAATCATATAGTATTGGTCTTTCTCTGTCTGACTTATTTGACTTAGTACTATACTCTCTAGGTCCATCCATGTTCTTGCACATGTCAAGATTTCATTCTCTTTTGTGGTTTAGTAATATTCCATTGTGCATATATACCGCATCTTCTTTGTCCATTCATCTATCGATGGACACTTCTGTTGTTGCCATGTCTTGGCTATTGTAAATAATGCTGCAATAAATGTAACGGTGCACATATCTTTCTGAATTGGTGTTTTCATTTTCTTTGGGTAAATAACCAGTAGTCGAATTACTGGATCGTATGGTAGTTCTATTCTTAATATTTTGAGGAACCTCCATACTGTTTTCCAGAGTGGCTGCACCAGTTTGCATTCCCACCAACAGTGCGAGAGGGTTCCCATTTCTCCACAGCCTTGCCAACACCTGTTGCTTCCTGTGTTGTTAATTTTAGCCATTCTGACTGGTGAGAGGTGATAGCTCATTGTAGTTTTGATTTGTATTTCCCTGATGATGAGTGATGTTGAGAATCTTTTCATGTGTTTACCGTCCATCTGTATGTTTGCTTTGGAAAAATGTCTCCTCAAGGCCTCTGCCTCTTTTTTAATCAAATTGTTTTTCTAGCGTTGAGTTGTAAGTTCTTTATATATTTTGGATATTAACCCCTTATCGGATATATCATTTGCAAATATTTTCTCTCTTTCAGTAGGTTGCCTTTTTGTTTTGTTGATGATTTCCTTTATTGCTCAAACTTTATTTTGGTGTAGTCCCAATTCTTTAATTTTGCTTTTTGTTTCCCTTGCCAGAGAAGACATATCTAGAAAAATGTTTCTCCAGTCAATGTCAAAGAGCTACTGCCTATGTCTTCTCCTAGTTTTATGGTTTTAAGTCTCACATTTAGGTCTTTAATCCATCATTCACAATTTCTTATTTGTTCACAAACCGTACTGTCAGCTATTACATATCAAATGGCAAAACTAAGAGGCAATTCATGGAATGGGAGAAGATATTTGCAAATGACATTACGGATAAAGGGCTGGTATCCAAGATCTTTATAAAGAACTTCTCAAACTCAACACCCAAAAAACAAATAATCCAGTCAATAAATGGGCCGAAGACATGAACAGACACGTCTCCAAAGACATAGAAATGGCTAACAGACACAAGAAAAAAGGTTCAACATCACTAGCCATCAGGGAAATACAAATCAAGTCCACAATGAGATACTACCTTAAATCAGTTAGAATGGCAAAAATTAACAAGACAGGAAACAACACGTGTTGGCAAGGGTGTGGAGAAAGGGGAACCCTCTTACACTCTTGGTGGGAATGCAAGCTGGTGCAGCCACTCTGGAAAACATAATGGAGTTTCTTCAAGATGTTAAAGATAGAGCTACCCTATTACCCAGCAAAAGATACAGATGTAGCGAAATGAAGGGGCACCTGCACCCCAATGTTCACAGCAATAATGTCCACAACAGCAAAACGTTGGAAGGAGCCGAGATGCCCTTCAACAGATGAATAGATAAGAAGATGTGGTTCATATATACAGTGGTATATTACTCAGCCATCAGAAAGGACGAGTACCCACCATTTGCATCGACATGGATGGAACTGGAGGGGATGATGCTAAGTGAAATAAGTCAAGCAGGGAAAGACAATTCTTATATGGTTTCACTCATATGTGAATATAAGGAATAGTACAGAGGACCACAGGGGAAGGGAGGGAAGAAATCAGAGAGGGAGACAAACCATGAGAGACTCTGGACTCTGGGAAACAAACTGAGGGTTACAGAAGGAAGGGGGATGGAAGGATGGGGTAACCGGGTGATGGGTATTAAGGAGGGCACGTGCTGTGATGAGCACGGGGTGTTATACCCAACTAATGAATCGTTGAACACTACATCAAAAACTAATGATGTACTATATGCTGGCTAATTGAACATAATGAAAAAAAGTATCAGATTGACAGTTTCTTAAGCAATATGCAGGAAAATCTTAACTAGTTGGTTTAAATTTATACCTCTAAGTGATAGAGCATAAAACTACATCAATTATAATACATCCAATGGAAGTGTACTTACTAACTGCAACAATAAAATCTTTGTGTAACTTGTAAGTCATCAGTGGTTCTGCAAGACATCTGCAATGGATAAAGAAGCAGGCATTAGAATGGCAATATTTTTTTTTTTTTATTTTCCCTGAACTTTAGTGTTTCTTTAAGAGTTGTGTGATTAAGGAGTATGATCAAGTCCTAGTAAGGCCGCTCCAGGCAGTCCCAAAATGCAGACCTCAAAGACACCAAAGCCCTTTAGCACTTCTTGGCATAACTGTACTAAAAAGGAAGGCCGGAAAATGATTTTGTCACTGTGAGAACTACTGAACCACAACAGCAAAACACCTCTCAGATATGGGGACAATAGTTAAATAAAAAACAAAAACAAAATAAAAACAACTTTAAAAAGCATGTATAACTTCCCAAACACTAAATATATCACCACCTTATGCTATTTCACCTGAAGTGAAGAATTGCTCTAAGTAGTGAAGTTCATGCCCAGGAGCTCCAAGGAATCACATGGCAACTGCCCAAGGAGGTAAGGGAGACATAATACGCAGAGTAGGAGTTAAACCTTCCTTACCTGAGGTAGTTTTTCAGTCCACTTGTTATTGTCTTATTATCCCACAATTCAATATCAATGTCAATATCAGGAGGGGATTTTGGAGCTGAAAAGAGGAAAAAATAAGATGTTTAAACTGTGCAATTCAAAACATCACTCACACCATAAAGAAGATGTACACAAACATAAGTAGGTCAAAGAGAGAGACATTTATTTCTCAGAGTGCCAACAGATTTAAGTTTAGAATTGTTGTTTGTGCGAACCTGGTGTAAATCTCACTCTGATGCTCTATAAACCTCAAAGATTTCTTGTGGACTAATAGTGTTCCAAATCAAATTATTATCAATTGCTAACATCACAGAGCACTTACCATCTGCCAGGCATGCTTCCAAGTACATTATATGAATTAACATATCCAATCCTCATACTTCTCAATGAGGCAGGCACTATTATTATCCCCATTTTATGAATGAGAAGGTTGAGGCACAAAGTGTTTAAACAAACTACCCAAGGTCACAAAGCTTTTAAGTGGCAAGTCAGGATTCCAAGCTAGGCAATCTGAATCCAGCATCCATAAATCTCAATGCAACTCTAGCTGATCAAAGGACACTTGAGAAAAAGTCCAACATTATAAAAAGGACCCCTCCCAAATTCTGATTGTTCATCTATTATAACTGAACATTAAAAACTGAACGCAAATATTAATTTTAAATATTACTTGAAACTATTCAAAGGCAAGCAATAGTATAATTCTCAAAGAAAGCTATGGTTTGGATTATCTATAATACAAAAATTAAGTAACCAGCTTCATCCAAAACTTACAAAATGTTGTGTTCATGAGTTTCTGAACTTTGGAGTTTACTCCTCCTATTCGGTAGAGGCCTAAAATAGTGATGCCTAGTGAGAAGGAAAAATCACAAGAGAATGGCTTGAGACCAGCAGCACAAGTACAGAATGTTAAAAACCTCAGGCATATACCTATACAGAATTTGAAAGCTACTTGTCCAATTTTGCAGTCTGACTTCAGCAAATCTACCCTGGAAACACCCATCACACATATATTTCTCAGAGTAGACACTGAACAGTGTCTGAAAGTCTTTTGAAGATCTTTAAAGTAGCAAAGTACCCCGTTCATTCACCACAATTTGAATACAAAAAGCATCAAAGATGGGAAATGATAATCAGGACTTCTCATCCTCTATTTCTTCAGTCATGGAGTCCTGTATGTTGAAGAGTTGGAAGGCATTTACATCTTCATTTTCAAGATGAGGAAACAGATTCAGAGAATTTAAGAAACATACTTAGCTTCTCAAAACTTCTAAGTGGCAGCACCAAAATCTGAGCCTAAGTTCACAGAATTTCAAAGCCCAATATGAGTTTACCTAAAGCAAAGTTTCCCTGGAATGGAAAGAGTGTAATAGGCACCGGAGTGGGCTTCAGGTGAGAGGTCATGACTAGAGAGAGGAAAGGTGCTATAATTGTGACCGTGACTGAAATCAATGAAGGAAATAATATAAGGAAGGAGGAAGACCAGCTCCTTAAGAATGTTACCCCACTAAAGCTTGGAAAAAAAACAAAGAAGTGGTTATAGTAATAAATAACACAAAGTCTATCAATAAGAAGTAAAGCAAGCCTTTATTAGGAAAAATCATTAAAAAGAAATACAGTGAAAGACATGTATCATATGACCTCACTGATATGAGGAATTCTTAATCTCAGGAAACAAACTGAGTGTTGCTGGGTGGGAGGGATGGGGTGGATGGACACTGGGGAGGGTATGGAGAGCACTGTGAATTGTACGAGACTGTTGAATCACAGATCTGTACCTCTGAAACAAATAATATATGTTAAAAAAAAAGAAGATAGCAGGAGGGGAAGAATGAAGGGGGGGTAGATCGGAGGGAGAGATGAACCATGAGAGACGATGGACTCTGAAAAACAAACTGAAGGTTCTAGAGGGGAGGGGGGTGGGGGGATGGGTTAGCCTGGTGATGGGTATTAAGGAGGTCACGTGCCAGGGCGCCTGGGTGGCTCAGTTGGTTAAGCGACTGCCTTCGGCTCAGGTCATGATCCTAGAGTCCCAGGATCGAGTCCCGCATCGGGCTCCCTGCTCAGTGAGGAACCTGCTTCTCCCTCTGGCCCTCCCCCCTCTCATGTGCTCTCTCTCTCTCTCTCATTCTCACTCTCTCAATATAAATAAATAAATCTTTAAAAAAAAATAAAATAAAAAAAGGAGGGCACGTACTGAATGGAGCACTGGGTGTTATGCACAAACAATGCATCATGGAACACTACATCAAAAACTAATGATGTAATGTATGGTGATTAATATAACAATAAAAAAAGAAATACAGTATGATTTTTGGTAAAGTTCAAGCTATAGTTTTTTGTGTATTTAGATAATTTATAAATTTATATAGTTTTTAAAGTTAATTTCATGTTAATGACGAAATACATCCTCATTTTTTGAGAGGTTTCTATATAAGAATGAACTACATGAACTACATAACAGTAACAATGTACCTGTCAGGCAACACTTACCTCTTGTTTCCACAGCTTGAATGCATTTTCTCACAAAGTTGAACCCTGCTTCATTTAAGTACACTGAAAATAAAAGAAAATCACAGTAAGGGTTTATGCCCAACTTCCATTACCCCTTAGTTGGCTCTGTTGTTTCAGGACTTAATGGCACAGTTTTAGTTAGTCTGAATTTTTACTTTAGGGTAGAAGTAGAAAGGTTCGCAGTCACCTAAGTAGTAACTTACATAAACTTGCTTCCTTAGAATACACAGATCCTTCATAGAAAGTAAAGGTGTTACACCGATTCTGTCCATTTTTTCTAAAATTAGCCTTATCTTTCATAGCATGTTATTCCAGATGATAGAAGCAAATGTACTAAGAAAAAAAACCTTTATTATGTCTTAGTAATTATATTACAAAGCTAGTCACATATTCTTTTTCATGGGATTCTCAAAACATTATGAAGTAGAGAGAAAGCTTTGTAATCTTAAGATGGTTCACTGGGTTGCTGAAAATTTCACTTTGTTCCAAGCTTGTGAACCAAGATTCTAACACGGATCTCCTGAATCCAAGTCCAATATTCTTTCCACTGCATTTTTTATCATGTGCAAAGTAATTCAAAATACATTTAGTCGACCAAAAATCCCCCAAAGATCCTACATTATGAAATAGCAATTTATTTTCATTGCTTTAGCTAGATTTTTAAATCTGTTCTAATTTTCTTAAGTTTTTGAGACCAGATCAAATTAGATTGTTTTAAAAAAAAAGGATTTAACTTAAGAATATCAAGTAATACCCTGAGGAAAGATTCAAATGTTTTCTTGGTACTATAATGAAAATTTTCATCATATGTGGTAGAGATATATTTCTTAATATTCTCAAATTATATATGAAAATAATTCAAATCAATAAAAAACTAAACTGGCTTCCAATTAAAGATGGTGGATTAGAAGGAGGCTGGAAGATGGTGGAGTAAGGGGACCCTAAGCTCACCTCATCTCATGGATACAACTAGATAACACTCACATCAGTGTAAATAACCCAGAAAAACGAAGACTGACAAAACAAACTCCACAACTAAAGGCAGAGCAGAGTCCACATCGAAGAGGGTAGAAAAGGTGGAGACATGGTGGGGAGTAAAACAGAGTGGCCATCTGTGGTCAGGAGGGAGCCACAGTCACAGAGAAGGGTGAGAAATAGATTAACATACCAGGAAGCTTGCATGGGAGAGATGAATCCTCCTAACATTTGGCTTTGAAAGCAAGAGGAGCTGAATTTACTGACTTCTTACAAATAAGAACTTAAAGCCTGGAAGCTTAAAAATCAGCTGGCTCCATTTTGGAAGAGCCCTGAAGGCAGTAGGAAGACGAGTCCCTGCCCTTAAAGAGACAGCATGCCAAACAGCCCTCCAAAAACAGGGTAGAAGCAGTACTTTGAAAAACACCTGGGGCGTACAGTAGGGAGAGTTATTTACTCATCTCAGAGCATGTCCAGAGTAAGACTCTTCCAGGAACAAAGGAGCTGGCAGGTGCCACTGCCCTTCCCCACCCTTAACATAAACACATGGTCACCTGCAGAAACCAGCAGGAAAGTCACTACATAATTTGCTTACACCAAGCCCCACACCCTAGTGCTTTGTCACATCCATCCTTTCCACTCATGCTTGCATCAGTCCCAGCACTTCAGGCCACCCCCTCAGAAATCCAGCGCCAACTATGCCAACACTACATCTTTCCACCCATGCATTTTGCAAGACTGTAGTTCTGGCAGTAGCAGCTGCAGGCCTTGTGGAAGTTCAAGGAGCACCTTGTTAAAATTGCACAACCCACTCACAAGGCCCGGGTCCTGGAAGCTACAGGTCTCAGGTCTCATTTCATAAGCAGAGCACACCTTGTTAAAACTGCATACCACACCCCCACCAGGGACAAAATGCTGCCCATAATAGGCAAAGAGAGCCACTGCAGACAACTGGACTGAAGGAAAAAGCAGCCAGGACAAAACAGCAAAGCACATGCAACACACATAGGAGACACAACCTGAAGCATCGGGCTCTGGGGAAGAAGGGAAACTGCACTGCAGGGCACTACAGGACCTCTTCTTCATAAGACCACTACATTCAAGAGGAGGAGACGTAGCTGACTTTCCTGACACAAAGAAACAGACACAGAGAGTTAGGCAAAATGAGGAGACAGAGGAATATATCCCAAATGGATAAAAAAAAGACAAAAATGACAGTAAGAGACCTAAGAGAAATGGAGTAATACACCGGACAGAGAATTTAAAGTAATTATCATAAAGATACCCACTGTACTTGAGAAAAGAGTGGAGAATATAAGTGAGATGCTTAACAAAGAGATAAAAACGAACAAATCAGAGATGAAGAAAACAATACACAGGATTAAAAATACACTATGTGGAATAAATATCAGGCTAGAGGAAGCAGAGGAATGAATGAGCAACCTGAAAGAAAAAAAATTATGCAAAATGAGAACAGACTTAGGGAACTCAGCTACTTCATCAAGTGTAATAACATTTGCATTATAGGGATTCCATAAGAACAATAAAAGGGTTCAGAAAATTTATGTGAAGAAATAATAGCTAAAAAGTTTCCAAAACTGGGAAAGGAAATAGATATTCAGATCCAGGTGGCAAATAGATGTCCAGATCCAGGAGGCAGAGATCCCCTCAAAAAATCAACTCAAGGGGGTCAACACCAAGACACAAAGTAATTAAAATGGCAAAAAGCAGTGATAAAGAATTTTAAAAGCAGCAAGACAAAAGAAAATAGCTACACACTAGGGAAATGCCATAAGGTTGTTTTGTTTTGTTTTTTAAGATTTTATTTATTTATTCATGAGAGACAGAGAAGCAGAGGGAGAAGCAGGCTCCCCGCTGAGCAGGGAGCCCGATGCAGGACTCGATCCCAGGACCCGGGGATCATGACCTGAGCCGAAGGCAGACGCTTAACCATCTGAGCCACCCAGGTGCCCGGGAAATGCCATAAGGTTATGAGTGGATTTTTCAGCAGAAACTTTGGAGGACAAAAGCAAGTGGCATGATATATTGAAAGTGCTAACAGGAAAAAATATGCAGCCAAAAATACTCTTTTTAGCAAGACTATCATTCAGAATAGGAGAGTTTCTCAGACAAACAAAAGCTAAAGTAGTTCATGTTCACTAAACCAGGCCTACAAAAATATTAAGGAAACACTTGGAGTGGAAAGGAAAGACCATAAGTAAGAGCATGAGAAGAAGGAAACACAAACGCAGTAAAAATAAGTAATCTGTAAAAATCAGTGAAAGAATTCATAAAATAAAAGGATGTGAAATAGGACACCATATACCTGAAAAATAGGGGGAAGTGTAAGAAGAAAGAATGAGTTCTAATTTAAGCAACCGTCTACTGAATATAGGCTGCTATATGCAGAAGATGTTCTATACAACCCTAATGGTAACCACAAATCAAAACAACACAATAACAGATACACAAATAATAGAGAGAAAGAAATCCAAGTTTATCACGAAAAAGTGTGAGAGAAAGAGAAGAAAGGATCATAGAAAAACTACAAAAATGACCACAAAAAAGTAACAAAATAGCAGTAAGTACATATCTATCAATAATTACTTTGAAAATAAATGGACTAAAAGCTCAATCAAAAGATACAGGGTGATGGGATGGGTAGAAAAACAAGCCCATCAATATGCTGCCTATAAAAGACTCCTTTCAGAACTAATGACACATGCAGATTGAAAGTGAGGGGCTGGAAAAACATTTATCATGCAAATGGATGTCAAAATAAAAGCAGAGTAGTTATACTTACATCAGATGAATTAGACTTTAAAACAAAGACAGTAACAAGAGAATAATGACACTATACAATAATAACAATCCAACAAGAGGATATAACAATTCTAAATATTTATGCACCCAACATGGGAGTACCCAAATATACAAAACAGTTAATAACAAACAAAGGAACTAATTGATACATTAACAGTAGGGGATTTTAATACCCCACTTACATCAATGGACAGATCATATAAACAGAAAATCAACAAGAAAACACTGGCTTTGAATACCACACTGGACCAGATGGATCTCACAGTTATATTCAGAACATTCCATCCTAAAACAGCAGAATACACATGATTCTCAAGTGCACATGCAACATATTCCAGAATACATCACATATTAGGCCACAAACAAGCCTCAACAAATTCAAAAGTATTAAAGTCATACCATGCATTTTTTCTGACCACAATGCTATGAAATAAGAGATCAATGATAATAAAAAAATCTGAAAGAGCACAAATAATGGAGGTTAGATAACATGCTACTAACCAATGAATGGATCAACCAAGAAATAAAAGAATAAAAATTACATGGAGAGAAATGAAAATGAAAACATAATGGTCGAAAACATTGGGATGCAGCAAAAGTGGTCCAAAGAGGGAAATTTAGAGCAATACAGGCTTACCTCAAGAAGCAAGAAAAATCTCAAATAAACAATCTAACCTTACATCTAAAGGAGCTAGAAAAATAGGACCAAACAAAACCCAAAGACAGCAGAAGAAAGGAAATAATAAAGATTAGAGCAGAAATAAGTGCTAATCGAAATGAAAACAAACAAACAAACAAACAATAGAAGAGATCAATAAAGACCTCACACACACACACAAAAGAGAACTACAGGCCAATATCTCTGATCAACATAGAGGTAAAAATCCTCAACAGAATATTAGCAAACCAAACTCAACAATACATTAAAAAAAATTATTCACAATCAAGTGGGACTTATTCCTGGGATGCAAGGGCAGTTCAACATTCACAAACCAATCAACAGGACACATTACAGCAATAGGAAAAGTGATAAAAACCATATGATCATGTCAGTAGATGCAGAAAAAGCCTGTGACAAAGTATAACATCCATTCATGATACAAACCCTCCACAAAGTAGGTCTAGAGGGAACATACCTCAACATAATAAAGGCCTTATCTGAAAAACCTACAGCAAACATCATACTTGATGAGGAAAGTTGAGAGCTTCTCCCCTAAGGTCAGGAACAAGACAAGGATGTCCAC